TAATTATTATGACCAAGCAATTGTGTCTCTGCTATTATTTTAGAAAAACTTCTCCAGACTTTAAATGAAGACAGAGGAGGCCCATACAGAACAATTACAATGGAGAATTTGTTTACAGGCTGTCACTAGAAGAGACATAATACTTGCCTTTATCATCACTTGTCAGAGCAGTGACAGCCTCTAAACAGCCTGCCCATGCATTATTCTTTATTTATCACCTCTTGTGCCAGCTCTTGCCCTAGCCTGGCATGTGTCAAACTTATGATTCAGGGATTCATTTGATCTGCACTGTAAAGAAAAGTATGATGTATTTACTTTTAAATTACAAATTAGATATTTGCTCCCCATATCTAATGAAAGGGGCTTTAGTTTCTTTACATGCAAAAGTACCATTTATAGCTTATTGTAGAATTTCAGTACTGGCTTCTCTCTCATGCCCAGCTCTGAAAATATAATTTATATAATACTACAGAATATAAATTAAAGCATCCTACCTCCCTGTTCTATTGTCATGGAAAATCTGTTTGAACTGTTTCCTTTGGTAATGAATGGGCAGATTGTGTTGTCCTCTGGACATTTAAATGCCTTTTTATTTAAGGTTGCTTTCTTTTTTACACACTGCATTATAATTTCTTACAAATCATTTCTCTAGAATTGCAGTTTTGTGCTGACATTGATTAATGCATATTTACTTGTGCACTTGAGTTTGCTTAGTCGTAAATGTATATGTGTAACATACAGGATTTGAGTGTGAGATGATGCTTCTGGAGGTAGCATTAGCAACAAAATAGATTGGGTCTGTGAGAAAATGCAGTTGTATTATAGGAAATAAAATATTTGGTGTTCTGTGAGGGAAATTTATGGAGTTCTGTGAAAAGGGAAAGTTCATTCTAATAGATTTGGCAAAAGACAAGATTTTAAAAATCTAAATTTGTTACTAATCACAAACACTGGTTGTCAACCAAAAATGTGGTTAAAAATGAAAGATACGTTTTTACTATTTATATAAATAGTAGAAAATACTGCAATTTTCTTTAAAACTACTACTGTTCTACTGTCTCTGGCTGTTACTCAATGTTTATTTTTGCTTTTCAAGATTGGGAAAATTAGAAACAGATAGTGCCACAAGCCATTGCAGGACAAATTAGAGTATGAGAGCACTTTTGTAATGATTTAAGTTTTAAAAATCATTACTTATGGATCCAAAAGGGAATTTGTTTCCTTCACTGTAAGATATCTTCATTCTCACAACCATATTGGAGTTGGTCATTGAACTTAAATACTTTGCAATGTTTTTCTAGTTATTTGTAGTTATTGAGAATTTTTTCCCAAATAAATTCCCAAACCATCATCCTTGCCATATCTCAAAACTAATGATAGAATAGGTATTGTTGCAGGCCTCTATTTGACTATGTCATGACTTACTGTTAGGATATTTCTAACATGTAACTAGTTTATAAAATTTAGATACCTTGCATATCTCTAGTAATCCATATACTTTGTTTCGTATGTAGACCCGATCTTTTAATGTCGCTTTTTGAACTAAGCTCTGTAAAATTCACAAGTTATTGCTTTTGTTTTCTTCCTTACTACTTCCAGATATGTCAAAATGAGGATGCACTTAGAATTCTGTGTAAACAAGATGTGTAAATTTTATTTATTTTTATTTATTTTTTGTTCCTTAAGCAGCAAGGAGAAAATAATAAAATCATTTGGTCATGGGATTAATTGAGTAGATGAAAATAATTTTGGGATATGTACTTCTGGTATCAAAAGATATGCTGGATGTTTTAATGCAGTTCTTCACAAATCAGGTGACATGCTGTCTAAAATGTGTGAAGAGCTATCTGAGTGAGGAAGGAAGATTGTATATAGCTTTTGTTTGTTCCACAGAATTTCCGATATTATCCTTGACAAAGAAAAGAAAAGATTTAAAGTTTAAGAGACCTTTTTCCTGAGTTTGCAAGGAATCTGAAGCAATGAAAGAACAGTATGAACTACCATTGATTTAATAGATTTCAAGCTCCAATACAACTAATGACAATCAAATCATATTATTCAACTCTATTGTTATTTAGCAATTGATATAAGAACAGAAAAGAATGTATCATAATTTGATAGTTTACATCATCTGTCCCTGAAGTGTTTTCCTGAGAAGATAGGCATTCAGCTTTCAGAATTTGCTCACTGAAAAATGTGGAAGGAATTAAATTAATTTTTTTGTATGAAACCGAATTTCAGTGAATTAAATTGGCTCAAGACAAGTGATAACAATCAGAATGCATGAAAAGAGTGCATTTGTACTAGTTCATTTAAACATCGATGGTGGCCGTATTCAAACTGCCTGCTCTAAGGGTCTTACCCTAGCCATTGTGACACCCAGCTACTGAAGGCCCAACTCACGTGTGCCTCCAGGCATCAGGGAGCCTACCGACACCACAAACAATTTGGATTGTCCAAGTAAGGCTCCTACTTCTCTCCATCAGAGGGCTTAGATGCTTTCTGGTAGTTACCTTCACCTACAAAGAGGAAAACTGCCTAGAAACAGGGAAGAGTAAAGCAATTGTGTCTGACACATAATGAAACTCAGAGCTGTGCAGTAGCTCCTGGTCAGCTGGAGTCTCATCAGTGAACCCATCTCCGAGGGTATGCAGGTCATAATGGGGGATTTGTACTATAGCCAAGGCCTTTAGTGATTGCTTCTAGAGTTGGAGAGGTGTGTTCTGGCTGAGCAACCCCATTCTTTTTAGTAGTGCTTGTCTAAACAATGTGCAGCAGTGTGGTCTTGTTTTGGTGCTGGGTCCCTATGCACTATTCAGCACAAACAACTGAAGATTTGTGGATGGAGAAGGAGAAGGGTTAGGTGACCTTTGAGAACTACAGGAAATTTCTGGTGTCTGAGGACTAACAGAACCTATGGCACCTAACTCATTAGATTTGATTTACTTTGGAAATATGTAACAACCTGTCACTTTGGAGCTTTTTCATTTTTCGTGGCTATTAGATGATACGATTTACAATATAGAAAAAAATCCAGACTGACAGCCCTAACAGACTTTCTTATATTACCTGCAAGGTCTTTGTATCTTTGTTTTTAAGGTCTATTTCCCTTCTTCTATTTTCCTGCGCTATGGGAATAGTCTCAATGGAGCTCATAAAAACAGAAAACAGTTCAATAAATATACAGTTTAAACAGTCTTGCCTGTGGGCACAAAATGATCCAGGGCTTGAATAAACCTCAGTTCAGTCACAAAACTGATTTGTAGCTGGTAGCTAAAATGAGTCAGAGTAGCACACAGGCCTTGTCCTGTGAATATGATTGGTCATACAAAAAACACCATTCAAGACACAGATTATCTCTTGAAGTTGTTACTGTTGGGATTTTAGTGGGCATGTAAATAGTGAAATGGGATGGAAGAATGGGTACTTCTTTCCTTCTTATTTAGGAAATTAAATGTGTACTCTACAGTCAACCACAGAGCAGAAGACAAAAACTTTCTATATTTATCTGAATATCATTCATTAATTTTGTTTTTGTCTCAGACTTTGCTTTCCTCACTTGACCTAATACTTCTCCCAGGCAGTGCTATGAGCACAAACCTCTCTGTTGACTCAGGATGTCTCCAGAGTGTTGAGTTTCTCCTCCTAGAAGCCCCAACCTATTTTGTAATCATTGCAGTGTGATGTTCCCAGTCCTTCTTCTGTGTCACTCTGCATCAGGATTCCTCAGTATGGAGGAACATCCCATGTAGTACTCTTTCACTAAATGCACATCAGTGTTCTACTTTTTCCTTATCTGCAGGTAGCTTTGGAAAGTTGTATGTGTTTGTCAGCTAAGAAAAAAACAAGATGAAAAGAAGCATGTGGAGGGAGCTCTTTTTCACTGGAGCTTAATTTTATTTTTACACACGATGTGCCTGTATTGTCTGCTGTGACTTGTTTGCTCATTGCCTTAAATTTGTGTGTCAGCATTATATACTTCAGGATACTGCTGAATGGAAGTCCTTTTGTCTAGTCCACAGCAAACTTCTTGCAATTTGTAGTGATGTAAGAACCAGGAACAAGGCCTGTGTTGTCCATAAAAGTCCAAAGAATTAGTAGCTGATATCAGAAACAAACATAATCTGGCAAAGCCATTTCCATGAGACTTAGCTTGCAATCCTTCGCATCACTAATGCAGCTTATCAATGGTTTTAATTATTAGAGACTGAACTTTTCTCTCCCTTTTCCCTTGATGAATGAAATTATCATATTTTCCCAAAGTAACTAGTGGCAATCTGAGGTGTTATAGCAAAGGCAAAAGATCAGGACTTGTGTTTTAGATGTACTTAGGAAGAGGCAAAATTGTAGGGTGTTTTTTTTTGTTGTTTTCTTTTCGTCAGAAGAAAAAATGCTCCCAAAGATGATGTTTTGCGATACAAACAGAACCAGATTTCACAGATCAGAGAACCTATCAACTACTTTACATTTGCAGCCTAATTTTATTAGGGAGTTAGCTGTCTGTGTGCTTCGTGCTGGTATCTAACTATTAAGATCTTTCTTCATGTCTGTTTTCCTTCCCATTACAGAAATAACCTCATTGTGCTAGTTTTATTTTTTAAATTTATTTCCATGCATAGTTCTTCATAAAAAGCTGATATAGGAAACTGACTTGGAAAGGACACTGTTTATAAAATGGCATGCCAGAATGTTTATATGGCTTTGGGCTGCAGGAGGCAGAGAATGGATGAATATCCTGTAGCTGTTTTGGCCATTATATTGTGGATGGCAGGTTGCCAGTAGCAACTGCAGCAGTGTCAGTGTCTTCCTCTGTGTGATAAAATAGAGAGAGTATTTGCACTTTCTCAACCATCTCAGGAGGATTTGTGGCAGAGTTTGGAGGACTTGAAGTGACTAGGGATGGAAATAGATAAGTAACTTGCAGGCTGTACACCAACCTGTCCTTCTGTTGGCTCCTCCAGGCCTGGCACCACTGACGCTTTCTTTGCCCTTCTTTCTAGAACATTTAAAAGAGAAGCTGGAGGAATACATGGTCCGTTTTGCCAAGGTGAGGATTGTGCGTACCAAGAAACGAGAAGGGCTCATTCGGACCAGACTGCTTGGAGCCTCGCTGGCTAGAGGAGAAGTCTTGACATTTCTGGATTCCCACTGTGAAGTCAACGTGAATTGGCTACCACCCTTGCTCAGTAAGTGCACAAGCATTCATCAGACATTAAAATCAGGACATACAACTAAGAATTGAAGCAATGTCCCACAGTAAACAGGACATACACTGTATCAAAGTGTTTGGAGTTCTGCTGCAGTTCTGATCTTTCTGAAGTGTCAGGACGAGAGAGAACTCCAAGAAATGTGAGCAGCTGCATTTTGTTTCCTGATACTAAATCATTTGTAAAATCTTGCAGTATTGCTTTAGCTTATAATTTATTTTATTTTTAGTATAATGCTATGTCCTTACTATACACATGAAAATGTTTGTTAAGAAGGTATTGTACTCCTTCCTAGTTTTTCACATTGCATTAAAACAGTTTTTTGCTGTAAATATATCCAAGGCCTCAGTGTTAAATCCAATAGCAATAGCATTCACAACGGGAAGCTCAGAAGGAATGATTTGCTATTGACTGCTTTGCTGGATTCCAGCTGCAGCCAGCAAAGCTCCATTAGTTAAAGGAATGGAAAGAATCAATTGTTGTAGTCTAGGATTTCACTTCAGGAAACAATGTTCTCTTTTCTACACACCTGACTACATGCTAAGTACATATACTTTGCAAAGTGAGTGCTTTTTGCTACCATAACCAAAGAAAATTTCTTAGTTGCCTAATAAAGAAATTTGTATTCATTAAAAAAGTCTTCTGTAAGTACACAGAAGGTTATGGTCTCACTAATTAATGGTTATTGTTCCTTGAATTGTGTTGTTAGGACTCTGGGGCCACACAGTAAGCTGATAAAGCATTTGCAGCAACATGTGCCGTTCTTCTAATGAGCTATCAGTAGAGACCAAGGAAAAAACTATTAACTAGTTTCTCTTCAGATCAGTAATAAGATAATGCACAAAAATCTAAATTTTTATCATTCCTAGCTTCCATATCAAATCATGCATACAGTTGTTCCTCGTTACCCCCTTACCCTCATTCACAACATCTGCATTTTTAAAAATAACATCCATGTCTTCATGTGAAGCACAATATCATAAAAGGAGCAGAGAGAAATCCAAGTTGAGGCCAGTTCTGTTTGCCCTGTCCCTAAAAGAGACCAGTCCCCTCACCACAACCTCTCTTCAAGCAGTTGCAGAGAGCAATAAGGTATTCCATGAGCCTCCTTTTCTCCAGGCTGAACAACTCCATCTCCCTCAGCTGCTCCTCACAGGACTTGTGCTCCAGAGTCTTCACCAGCTCCATTGCCCTTGTCTGAACTTGTTCCAGCCCCTCAATGTCCTTCCTGTATTGAGGGTCCCAAAACTGGACACAGTACTTGATGTGCAGCCTCACCAGTGCCGAGTATAGAGGGACAATCCCTGCCCTGCTCCTGCTGGCCACACTACTGCTGATACAGGCCAGGATGCCATTGCCCTTCCTGGCCACCTGGGCACAGCTGGCTCATGTTCAGCTGCTGTCAACCACACCCCAGGGCCTTTTCCTCTGGGCTGCTTCTCAGGTGTGCACCTGTAGGCCTGTAGAGCTGCATGGGGTTGTTAGGACCCAAAGGCCTCAGTTCTTGATCCAGTCTGTCCAGATCTCTCTGTAGAGCCTTTCTGCCCTCCAGCAGATTGACACTCCCATCCAGCTTGGTGTGATCTGCAACTGAGGTTGCATTTGATCCCCTCGTCTAGATCATTGATAAAGATGTTATAAAGTACTGGCCCTAGTACTGATTCCCTGGGGAAAAACACTTCCAACCTTCCACCAGCTGGATTTAACTTCATTCACCACGACTCTCTGGGCTGGCCATCCAGCCACTTTTTTTATCCAATGAAGAGTGCATCTAATGCTGTGAGAGACAGTATCAAAGGCTTTACTGAAGTCCAGGTGGACAATATCCACAGCCTTTCTCTACATCCACTAGGTTACCTGCTTATAGAAGATGGTTAGTTGGGCAGGACCAGACTTTCATAAACCCATCCTGGCTGGGTCTGATCCCTTAGCCTGTGTGATCTCACATGAGGTAATCTGTTCCATACATCTAGCTAGATTTCACCCTGTAAAAACCGAAAAATGACGAAAAAGGATTCATAATTGCAGCCAGGTTGCAGTTGGGTATTGAACGCTCAGCCTCAAGCCAGAAAACTGGAAAGATGAGAGCAACTGCATCAGTGCCCCTCAGTTCTCAAGAGGAATGAGATCTTTCCACATGGAGTAGAATACCTGTAGATAACAAATCACCCAGAGGACCTAGAAATGAGTCTTGAGGAATACTGAAGCCCAGAATCAAATATGTTTTATTTTGAAAGAAAAAGTAGAGCATTACAAAAAGGACAAATAGAAAATGAACACACACCTAGTATATTTTCCCTGTGCCCTGTTTGTCTAAAGGAATAAGAGAATTTTACTATAAACTTTAGATAGCAAATACTTACTCTAATGAAATCAGATGATGCATAATAGTAGTAATATTAATAGTAAAGTTAATGTATGTTTTCAAGTGTTTATCTGAAGTTGTATTTTGTGATTCACTCAGCACAGCATGTGACTGAAAGTCATTCAGGGAAACCACAACAGAGGACATGTTGAGTGCTAGTTGCTTTGAAGCTGCTGTGTTTTAGCTCCGATTGTATCTGGCATGAGTAGTGAAAAATCCTCAACAAATACATGGTTCAGCCCTTCTCTGGACTGGCAGTCTTTGCTGAGAGGAGCAGCTGTTTCCACTGTTGCAAGCCAGGTTTTGTTCCAAATGAGACCTTGAAAGTTAGAGAAGGGGGTGAGGAACCAAGAGCAATCACTTAAAGATGGTTCTCAGAGCTATTTAAGTATCTAACTTATCTTTTCAGAATTAACTATCAGCTTTTAGACCAAAGGAAGACTGAGTTATTTCAGTATTTTTAGGGTATCTAAATGGCTTTGTGGAGCTGAGCCACAGTTGTTTTCAGTTACAGTCCTTTGTTTTGTTTTCTTAAAAATGGGTGTAAAATACTTCATTTTCTTTAAACTTTATTTAGATTATTTCTTTCTTTAAAGGGACTCTTAAGCTTAAGTTAGACACTCTGTGATACTAGAGAGTTTTGACTGATGGTCACTGAGTAGGCAGGTGTAGCGATGCAAAAGGTTTGGCAAACACAGCTGTTTGTTGTCACTCCTCAGTAGAAGGAAAGATGTGGCTTGGACTCCAGCAGTTGAGAGTTTAGTGCAGTGTGAAATAACAGTTACACAATTATTGCAGGTAAGAAACTTGAATGGCAAACCAGAAAGGTGCAGGCATGTATTTCCTTCTGCTGATGTTCCTACAGGAGCAGTAAGAGGAAAGATGGACAGTAGATCAATAGTGACATAGGCTACCAGAATTAGGTTTACTAAAACAGATTCCTTTCCTGTCTAAGAATTAAAAATATATCACATTCAGATTATGCTTAGCAAGTTTTCAAAACACCTGCTTGTTATCCATCCAACATGTGTATGATGTATGGCTTGACAGAGGAGTAGCTGAGGGTCCAACTACTTATGGCAACTCAGTTGCTGAGTCACTCAACTGTTTTCATTATCTGTAATCACATACTTAAGTATGATAATAAAAATATTTGCTTTGAAAAATTGCAAAAATGAGACTATTGTCAAATTGGCATTGTTACTTTATCTAGCCCAGTTTGAAATAAAAAAGGTAACCTGTAGGTAAAACCTATATTCTGAGATAGTGACTCATCCAATATTGAAAACTTCTGTTTATTGCCATATATGCTTACTCTGTTTGATCCTAAAAATGCTGAATATAAATATGTATGTATGTATGCATGTATTGGTTAAAATTTCTTGGGAGAAAGCTCTGAGCAATGTCCCCTCTTGTTCCCAGGCTTTCCCTCAAATCTGCAAGATTTTTGCATGTACAGTGATGCTTATCTATTTGTTCTTCACTTTAACTGAAGCATATATGTAGTGAAATAATGGATCTTTTCAGACCAGTAAGAATCTGGAAGAGGATGAGGAGTAAAGGCAGTGGAAGAGAAACTGTAAAGCTTTTCAGCTGTGACATTCAGTGTCTGGCATTAGGAGCAGGTGGAGGAAAGAGCAGTGGCTGATAAAGGCAGCAGCATGTTTGCGTCTCTAAGTCTGTGATACCACCACGCTTACCAAATATAAGTTAGCCCTACAGCCTTTTCTTTCTTTTTCCTAAATTCATACTGGGACTACATTTAAACCTAAGTAGTATGTATGTAAAATTCATTATTTTAAGCATACTGAAGGAAACATTGAGACTGCAAGTTTGGTTGCTTTGTCTTTTGCACAATTACAAACAGCCTGGTTTCATCAAAAGTCAAGATTTTCCTGTGCTTCCTTATCTCTAAAATATTTTGGAAGCTGAGAAGCAAGTTCTGAGAAACACACTAAAACAGGCAGGTAAGCATCATCATACTTGCAGAATTCTTGAGACTTGCAGAAATGAAGACAGATTGAGCTTGAGCATTGCTCAGATTTCCCCCTGACTATCTCTGCATGTGACATGGAAACTTCAAATCCTTCATTGTATTTAAAGACAGCAGCTTTTAAAGATGAAGAGAAGGATGCTAAAGCACTATGAGTCTACCTTTGACCTGTTCCAGACAAATCAATCCCATTTAGTTTCTCTACTCCAATCAATTTAGAAGGGGGAAATCAGAGACAGATTGTTAGAAGCCCTATAACTATTAGGAGGGCCATCACAGGAAAGAGATTATGTAAAAGTGACTTTATATAATGATCACAGATAACACTATACAGTGTGCCAGTGAATGCAATTATATTTGGCAATAGCAACAGTAATGCAGCCATTATCTCTGAGATGAGTTTCCTAGAATTTTGTGAGAGCCTGTGTTTTAAATTTATTTCACCGTTAAAGGACAAGGATGTAAAAGCGTGCTGAACTTCCAGTCACAGTAATTTCTCACTAGCAGCATTGATCCCTGATTTGGACAGTGTTTCTAAGCCTCAACTTCTGAGAATAAATATAAAGACCCAGATGTTTTGTGAAAATAATCTTTTTTTTTTTCCTTCTGTCCCTCAGAAGCATGGAAGCAGAATCTGTGTAATTAATCATTACATCAGTATTACCTGCCTTCCTATCTAAGTGTTCAATCCACACTCAACCCTCAGATTATTTTTAGGGTACTATCAAGCATCAGTGAAATCTATACAACAAAACAACAAAAACATAAAACAACTTTTCCACATAGGCCCTAAAATGTACTAAATCATGTAAAGAATCTAAGATGCCATTCAGAGAAAAAGTTTTATTATCCTTGGAATTTTAAGATTTTAGGGTTTTTTTGAGGGTTCATCAGTAGTTTTTTATTGTCCTTTCATGTCGACACAGCTATAGGTTTTCTCTGCACTTCCTCATTTCAAACCATTATTCTTCTGCCTAGTTCTTGATGTTGGCCTATCTTCTTTTCTTTTCTTTCTTTTCAGAGGAGCGCTATAAGATTAAGCAGTAAGATTCACCAAAGCAGACTCAGGCCCAGCTGAGCTTATGCTAGAGATGGGAATTTGATTTAGTCTCACAGTTCTATTTTTTTTTTTTTAAAGCAAAACTAAACCCCTTTCTTTAGAAAGCAGGTAAGAATAATACTGTGGAGCCTTCTTTATAACTCAAAGATTGGTACAAACAAAAGAACACAAACTCTGTTTTGCTCTTTGTGTTGGAGTTTGCCTTTAATTTGGAGCATTTGATTTCAAAGCTGATGCACACTACAGCCACAGGAACAGTGACTGAATGGTTGCAAGGGCTGAGATTCACATTTAGGAATAAATCTCTCTCTCAGCGGCTTCCCGTACACAATCCCCACAGATGAAGGAGTATTTTTACCATTTACTTGCTGGCTTGTTCCATAGCTGACAGACTGGGGACAGCTCAGAGCAGCAATGTGAGAGAGATACAAATAACTGGACTCCTGTGGGTCTCACAGGGATGTGCTTCTATTTAAAGAAGCATAAATACTTCTAATCATTGCCCAACTGCATTAATTCTACTTTAAATAAAGGTTTGATACAGATTTGAAAAATTAAATTATTGGGGGGGGCCATAGGGCACAAAGTGAACAATCTTCAAACATCAGAAACCTGTGGGATTCACTTTGCAGTAATATGATAGATGGCTTGACTAGACATGCCGTTTCCTATTTTCTACTTTCATTTTTCAGACCAGATTGCACTTAACCACAAAACCATCGTGTGTCCTATGATCGATGTCATTGACCACAATCACTTTGGCTACGAGGCACAGGCGGGGGATGCCATGCGAGGAGCTTTTGACTGGGAAATGTACTACAAAAGAATACCGATTCCTCCAGAGCTCCAGAGAGCTGATCCCAGCGACCCCTTTGAGTAAGTAGCAATAAAGGGGAGAGTGGGAACATGAAGAAGGGCAAGCAAAAAAATGTAACTGTAGCAGAATCCAAGCCCAGACATTTCCATGTAGGCCACTTACTGCTAATGAAAGGTAATAGAAGAAAACAGGTTTTATATACAGGCTTATAAAACCTGAAAACTAGAAAAAAGATCAAGGCAACAACGCGCAGAATTCACAAGCTGTGCCTGGAAACACAACCTGGCTCAGTGACTGTACATAAGAGACAGGCACATACTTGTAGTTAAGTATTGGCATCAGACAAGAAGTGATTGCAATGACAGGTATTCTGTTTGTTTCACAGAAAATTTATTTAATGTTTTATTTGCTGGAGGCTGATGCAATACATGCATCAGCAGCTGAGTCCACGTTACACCCAGCAGATGCTTTGTTTATAACTGTTTATATGGCTGCTGTATATGCAGTGCTGTAATTTAAACACAGAGCTGTCAAACCTGAATACTGACAAGATGATTTCTAAATAATTTTAGATAAGACAGCCTCTGATTCCAGTATTGTAGAGATCAGGTCATTCACAGAAATTATCTTCTTTTCACAAAGGTACATCCTTTTTCCTTATATTTTCTTATAATTATTCTTATGTAAGGATCAGTTTGGATTAATATTTACCAGAAGAGAAAGGACAGACAGAAATGGTTCTAATGTGGGAAAGTGTCCAGGTCTCTCACACAGGCACATCCCAGCAGGGCTGACACTCATTAGCCCAGGCTGAGCCTCCACACTGTAGGTTATGGCAGTTTGAAACCTCAGCATACTCCTCTCCCCAAAGCAAAACCTGGAAATAACAACAACAGAAGAACTGTGTCTCTGACTCTAATAACCAGGGAATGACCAGCAGGGAGAAGCAGGTGACTGTGGCATTCATGGGCTCATTTTCATTATTCTACTTGTTCCTTTTTACTTATCTCCATCCAGGCCCTTCAGTCTTCATCTTGCAGTAGCATAAGTGCCAGTGAAGTTCTTTACATTAGGTGCCAATGTGACTACTTGTTACTGATCAGGTGGGAGATTCAGGCAAGCCCTGCCTTACATTTTTGGCAGCAGTTTGAATTTAGTATGGGCTGCACCTAAAATCACTCCAGCCTGCGAGTTCTAAGGATGGCAGATCAGGTTATTATAAAACGAGTTATTTATTGGATAGATAGGCAATAACAGAAAAAAGGCCTTAAACAGAGTTACTTATTACAGAGTATAAAACAAAGAGAAATTGTAGATTACATAGAACAGTGCACAATGTAGAGGTACCTATATTAAAGCTAGCAGAGAGCTAGTATAGATTAAGAGGCAATGTAATTTACCACCAAAATAATGATAGTGTACAGTTCTTTCACTCAGCCCCTGGGAGAGTAACCATGAAGTAGGTATCCCAGATTTGGGGAAAAAGCCCCACACATTTCCAGGGAACATGCAGAAGACTTCTGCTTTGTGAAAGTTTGGTGTAGCTTTTATAATTTGTAAAGTGAACTGTCAGTCAGAAATTCCAGCTTATCTTTCCAGATCTCACTTCCACTGCAGGATATCTATTGACAGCTGGAAGCATTACTTTCATGGCATCAAAAAATTCACTGCAAAACAAGCTGTCTTGATTGAGTTATTTCACCAATTAGCAAGCTCCTGTGAAGGGCAAGATGCCCTGAGTTATTTCACCAGCTAACACGACACAGATAAGCTCTTCTGAGGGGCAAGGTGCCCTGCTACACCACACCACAACATAGATGTAGCTACTGCAATCACATAACACTCCAGAGCTGCTAGATCTTCAATTGCTCTGAATCTTCTTGGTCCTCTGAGCAGTTGTAGTTTCTTGGCACTTACTGAAAGTAACCATTGTATAATTTGGTTCAGCAGTCACAGTGTGTATAAGTAAAACTTCTCTATTGTCAGGGTTGCTTATCAGTTGTTTCACATTTGTTTGTAGTATGCATCTTACAGAATCTTGCTGCAAAGACAAGAGAGGACGAAGAGGAGCCTCTCATAGGAAACTTTCTAGCAAGATGAGGTTTTGTGCAGTATAGAATAGATGTGGTGGTTTTGCATGAGCTGCTGTTCCACTCAGCATGGCAGCAGTTGTTACCCACCTTGCCCTGCCAGCGTAAGACACAGACAGATAAATGGCTTCTCAAGGAACAACATACAGTACAATGCAGCCTACAAATCTCTTGTAATCTGAGTGGTTGTCAGGTGGAAAGGCTTCCCAGTTCTTACACAAATCAATGAGAGTCTTCCTTTGTTTTCCCCATAACAGGATGCACATCAGAGCAAGGCTGCTGGAAAAGCAGCATTGCACAAGGAATCATCATGTCTGTCCCCACACATGCCAGCAGGACTGAAGGCTCACTGAGCTAGGACAATATGCTTGCTTAAAAGTACCCTCTGCCTAGAATGGCAAATGGGAATAGATATGTTTTAAATAATCACTATGATTTTTTGCTTGGGGGAAAAATTATTTCCTAATTCAAAGTCAGTACTGCTTCTCTCCTAGGGCATTCTCTGCTGAGATCTCAAGTTTTTAATACCTTGCTTACAACAAATACAGTAAACATTGCAAACCATTTTACTCATCAGTAACTTAATTGACCAAGACAACTTCTGTGGAATAAAAGATACAGAACAGTTTTCCTTTAGGTACATATGTACTAAAACTAGAAATTGCTTCAGCCAGCACCATAATTATTATGCTACTATTTTGTAAGCAGTAGGGATTTTTATTTTTTATTTAGGTTAAATATTTTACTGTTGGTATCGTAATAGTTTTATTTCTTGCCAGCAGAGTCAGATCTGAGATGATCCCTAATGAACTGGAAAATTGCCAGCATTTTTAGTAAAACACCAGCAGATAATGTATACATGATCCAAAAAGTGTGCTGATGAGTTTTCCCCCTCACTTAAAATGCCAACAAAGTATATGTGTGAAGCAGAAAAGGTCACATCAGCCTTAGAAATAATGTACGTAAAACCAGATCAAACTACAGAAGACCTAAGAGCAGTGGTTGTATTATCTGCATGGTACATTTGCTTTCCATCTGCACATGATCAAAGTACTGCTGCAGCAGACACCAGCAGCGTGTTTGCAGCTGACACAACCAGCTGAAGTGTTGGCAGGTAGGCTCTTGGTGTGACAGGCTCACAGAGCTTACTAAGCTCAGCCAGCTCAGCTAGTGCTCTGGAATTAATATTTTCCTAAGATTAGTGGTTTTTTGTTTTTATTCCACTATGGTCAGTTTTGACCAGGTACTCTGCCATTGGATGCCATCTATCTCAACACGGTCTTCCAGCTCAAAATCCCTCTTGTGAAGAAGAGACATTCTCATCCATTTGTGGTGTGAGAGTAGTCATGATTTATTGTTCCTACATCTGCAGTGCCACTTGAGGCAGCATCTCCATCCTTTGCTGTGACAGAACTTGGAGCTTCACTGCAGCTTTCAGATTCTTCTCACACACACTCTCACCCATTGTCAGGCCCTCTGCAGCTGTTCACAACAAGTAGCTTTACACCAAGATTTGGCTTGGTGTTTATGACTTTAAGACTGTAAAACATTCTCAAAAGCTTCTGGAGACAAATTCAGGTACAGATGATGTACTAGCACCAACTGGGGAGTCATATGACAAATCTGTTACTGCACTTGGATCAGGCAGCATTCATCCACAAATTTTATCAGTTTGGTTTACATATAATTTATCACTGGCTATGCCAAATTTCTGTATGTTTCACTGAACCAAACTTCAGCCATATAAAATGTACTTTCAGTCAAAGCTCCCATGTGAATTATTGGATATTTTTCTATGCTCATTTTAGCATATAGGGAAGTTTAACAACTATTCCATAAACGGATCTCATGTAGCTTTTAAGATTAGTGATTTTTTTGAATGATCCGTGTGACAGTTTTTCAGGATGTATTGAATCCTTATAGGCATGGAAACTGGACTTCTCCCCTAATAAGGTTGCCTTCTCCTCCAGACTCTAAGTCTGTGAAAATCAAGGGATTTCCCTTTTTCATGTGCCACAGAAACAACAGAAGTTTTATATTGCATTCAAGTGATCTGTCACAGTTGCAGATCATCGCAGTGATGGTACTGATTTTTGTCCTGCAATTTGTGTACAACTACCTAAATATACTCAGAAGGGTGCTTGATGCTATTTTCCTCTGCTGCATGTGGGGTTGTGCAAACAACTCAAATTGGTGCTCTGATGCATGGTGGGAAATTGTCAGACAATTGTGGAATCATGATCATGTTATTATGATGCTTGCTGTTTTGATCCCAGGATCAGTGATCATTCAGCAGAATTTGAGATCACTTGGGACATTTTCTTCTAGTCTATAAGCAGGGAGGACCAGAGATGTTTACCTGCTTTGTGACCAGAGATGTTTACCTGCTTTGTGACCAGAGATGTTTACCTGCTTTGTGACCAGAGATGTTTACCTGCTTTGTGGCAAGGGTCATCTTGGCTCATCTGCTGGTTTGTCCCTCTGTCACAGCAGAGGTTTGAGAGCATGGACACATGGTTTGGGACATGGGAGCACGCTCCTGGCTGTTCCTTTCCATGGTGCAGACACTCTGGTCTCCAGCAGATTTTGCCTAACCCAAGCAATCACCACTTAAACTAATAGGATAACCTTGTTACTATAATGGACTGTGATATACAGCACGTCAGTTTATATGATTTAATAGCCTGAGCTAAAAGCTCTGTGGAAGTTCAAAGTGGGGGGTTGATATGCTCAGGCCTGCTGGGGGTGACCGTTCTTTATTTCCTGCCAGCACTTACATTACATCAGTTCATATTATCACATGCCTGATCTGAAAACTGGCATCAGTTTCATGCCAGCTGCAACATACTTTTAACCAGACAAGAAAACATCAGTTCAACTCAAAAAACTGTTTGGAAGGGGCTGCAGAGCTCCTGTGAGCAGTTTTATGGTGGTGTAACTTTATGATGGAGGAAGGAGAGAAAAGTAAA